ATTTCATTCAACTTAATGACTGTCTTGTTTCCAAAGCACAATTCCATTTTCAGAGGTTAAGGATTTGTCATCATCAAGGACATATAGGCAGAGTACATTCTGAGCATTATTACAATAAGGGCATAGCTTTACAAGGTGACTCCTTTGAAGTGGCTAAAAATCATATATATGATTTGTAAAATTCAGTCATACTGCTTTAATACTTTATATCTTTTTATGCTTTATCACTTCTTTATGCATAGTATACTGTATTCTATTTATGATGGTCTGCAGTAAAAATTGGATTAATATATCATTTTAAGATTTGTTTGTCATAAAATCCTCTTTTGTCAAAAGGTACCTTTGTATAAATAGCACCTATCTTATATTAATGTAGTATTAAAAGGTATTGTAACTAAAAGGAAACCCTTTCTCAAATCCCTCTTATCATTTTAAAACAAAGCTTTAAACATAAGCCATTGACCTGCTCTTGTAAAAATTGCCTTGGGGAATCAGGGTACCTGATTCATAGAATTGACTATAATAGCTTCTCCAGTGCCATTGTATCCTGTCAGGCAAATTCTTCTTCAGGGACTTCTCCGAATGCACATGACAGATTCAATTGTTTAAATACGTGCTTAGCGAATTTCTCAGAAGCCTTTGTTGGATCGAGATTGTGTGTACCCTGACATTAAATCCTGTGTAATATGTTATCAATCTCCTGCAAGAGTTTATCATGAAGTTACATGGTATTTGGGGTATTCTTGGTCTTCTGTGCCAGTGGGTTCCCAATTTGGGGCATTGAGTAACAATGCTTTACATAGTGCATTTGAAGATTCATCTTGTCTAAGTAAAATAATGTCTTTTGCTCTTTTTCAATTCAATTAAATATACCAAATTTCTTATTCTTTAACAAAAAGTCTTAAAGTGTTGGTTCAGCTGCTCAGTGATGCCATCAAAGACCTAATGTTTTTCTCTTCTTTTGATCTAATATTATTACCTGTTGGCATAGCTCTAAGCATCACAACCTGGTATAAATATTCCAAGCAGTAAGGAAGGGGCAGAGGTATAATGTTTTGTCCTTATGAAGCTTTGCCATTTTATTCAGGAATGGAAATCTCCCACCATCCCACCCTGCCATTCCTTTGCCCTGACTTTCTCTTAGACCTCATTGGTCAGAATGGGGACAAACGCCTTCCCCTAGACCATTGGCTGGTATAAACCAATCCTAGAGCAGAGGAGGGACCAAAATCCTCTGGGAAATAGTGGTGATGGGAAATGGGAAAGGTGATGATATTGTTGGATAGGCAATAGACAATGTGCAATGTGCAACTGACAGAGGTATGTGAGGAGTTGGTCAAGGGCAAAACTAAGCTGAGGTAAGATTTGTTATTAAGGAGTATAGGTATGCACATTGTAGAGGGATGATGTAGAGACAGTGAGTAGAATTAGGGAAAGCGTGGGTTTATAAGGGCAAAATAATAAGTATCTATATTAGACTGTGGTGGTCAGAATCAAGGAAAAGGAAGTAATCCAAACTTTTGAAGGAAGAAATGATAGCACCTCATGAGGAAATCAATACAAAGATTAAGAAAAGGTGCCCAAAGAGTAAAAGATGTCCCAAAGTTCTTATCCAGGGGTCTAGAAGACAAGTGCTGTCACTAATAGCCTGTGGTGGTTGAAATAGGGAGCGATTTGGGGGAAAGGAATGAATCCAGGCTTAACACTCAATTCAACACAACCTCATTTATTGAGGACTTACCATCTGAAAGCAGTGTGTCAGATTTTCAGGATATGAGAAAAAGGTTGAATATCTATGATTTTCCCATTGGAGAAGAGATCAATCAACCAATGCATGATGTTTAAGAAAATTTTTAGCACCTGATCGTGTACTAAGGTGGGAAGGCTTTAGGTGGGGGCAATCTGTGGCTATGTGGTCTCTTCATATAGTGAGATTTTAGGGGAATCTGCAAAGGACTTTAGAGAAAAACAAAACAAAAATTTCTATTATTAAGGACATATTCTTTGGTGATATGCATCCTTTTATGTCTATTTTAGAATGAAAATACTCTGTAGAGGGGAGACCATGGAAATCTGAAATAACCAACAACTTGGTGTAATGGGGAGTCAGGGAAGGAGAAAAAAAATTGGGAAGAGTCCGAACAGGAAGTTATGAGGATTTTCATCCATGCTGAGGGCAGCCCCATATTCGGGCCCATTACACCCCCTGGTATCTCGTTTATGTGCTTCAACTGTCTAAATTCAGCAAATTCACCAAATAATTTCCAGCTTTCCACTATATGATAGTGATCCAGCTCAGGGAGAAAGGAGGTGCTTGGACAATTTAATGGAAAAGAAGTCTTGATGAGAACAGGTATTTTTAAAGACAGAAAAACAAAAACAAAAGCAAAAAAATCCTGACATTGTAATCAGATTTAGCTAAATGAGACTGGAACCTCAGGAGAAAACCAAAGACCAGCCTGGGATAAAAACAGAAATAGCATTTTTTTATTGGTGTGATAAATTTAGTAAACAAACTCTGCATCATTGTGAGGCATATCTACACTAAAAGAAATCTGTTTTGATTTTAGACATTTTTTAGAAGGTTATTTTAATTTAATTAATGAGAAATCATAGGTTAATTGCCTCCAACTTTAATGTGAGGGTATTATGCATGCAGGCATATTTTATTTATATCTCGACTGTTTGATGTACACAATCAATTCAAAAAGGGATAATGAAGAGGTGTTCTGTTCTGTGTGGAATAATAATTAGGGACTCTAGTACAGAATATTTTTTATTAATTGTGCAGCTCAGTAAACATGTTTGACATAATACTGAGAAATACATAATAAATACATAGTAAAATAAATTTTACTAATATTTTTTCTTTGCTCATTCCTTTTGCTTTTTCTAGCTTTTTTTTTCAGGATCTTTTTCATACTGACCCCATTTTCCTAAGCTAGGAGCCCCCCCAAAAGCCCTAACAGTTTGATTTAGAGACTTAGGACCACCTGCTAAGTTAGTTGCATTTTGAAATTCAGGAAATCATATTGGACATCTGACTGCTGTTTCAACAAGGTTCATCGAAGCTGTTAGGGAAATGGAAATTGGAATTTTTTCATAGATAAGTAGACTACCTCAGTCTATAATGCAGAATAAATAACATTAGTGAAATCTGTATGGTCTTTTGGTTATTGTGTAATTTGCTAGGCAATTTACATATGATCCCTGGTTCCTTAGACAATGTATTTTCTTTACTAAGGATTTGGAAGTGTTATCACAGGTCCATTCCCTGCCGCCCCCCGCCCCATGAAACACAACCATGGATGGCTCTTTGTCCAAAGTACAAACTATGTTTTCAGAATTGTTAATGAAGCTACTTTATAACTCTTCTGCCATGCTTGGGGCATCAGCCAATTTAACAGAACATTTCCCTCAGTTTTAGGAAGTGATTTAAACTCTTGAATGTTCTCTCAACCTCCTGGTGCACATTTATTGATAAATTTGTATTTGAACCTTTTTTTGTGGGCAATAAGCCTGTCTAAAAGTTTTTAAAAGACTTTTTCTTAAAAATCTGTATAGCCAGAAGCAATTTTCAAGGGCTTGGGATATGTAGCCAAAAATGTGCATGCCTTGGCTCCTCTTGCTGCTTTGGCACTTGCCTCTTCTGACAACCATTTTTTACGTTTTTCCCAACCCCCAACTCCATCACCACATTCAAGTCTTTTCCTGTAGCTGATTTTTCTACATTTTTCCTCTCCAAGCTTTCCATAAGGACATCTCAGCAGGTGTAGTATGTCTTGGTTAAGCCAATTGCTTCTAGTTGCCTCACGATGCAGAACTTCTGCTGAGCCACCAATGCCCAGGAATGAGTCTTTGGCCTCTAGGAAGTCATACATGTGAGATTTATAGAGAACCATATTGTTCTGAAAATCAAATGTGAGTTTTACAGCCTTGCCTCCTAATGTCCAGTTCAAATAGATCTGAGGTGAAAGTGACTATAGTAATAACATTCAAATGTTGTCACCATCTGGTGCCTGTTTGGTGGCCTATGTTATATGAGCAGGTGGTCCTGTGTATCTTTGAGTGGCCAGCTGTCCACGTCACAAAAGCCACTGTCACATTTTGTGTTAATTGGCATCTTGGTTGTAATGATCTGTGGAGAGGCCAAAGCTTGAACAGACCTCAGTATATTATTCCTCTTTGTCTTAAGAGCTCTGGGTCAAGGCTGACAAGCATGTCTCTCTGTCCTCCTTATTTCTTATATGAAAGTCCAAAAGGGTTCTAGAATAAAGCATTATCATTCAATTTACTGAACACCAAATACACATATTGTTATGTTAGTTAATTCTTAGCTGAGGTAAGAGATCCACCAAGGAATCTTCAAAGAAACTTCTTGGAATTTAGAAAATGTTAGTTATCTGTTTTGGCTGCCCTGGAGATGATTTGTCTACCTCCTACTTTAAATATTAGGATTTTAGAAATAAAAATAGTCTTTCCTTTAGAAGTTTAACTTGGGGGCGGGGGAGCAAGTCTATAGATAGTGGCTATAAGCAGTGGCTACCAGAAGAACCAGATGGAAAAGAGTCTCATGCTCTACAATGAATCATATACAATTACTGTTATTTTGACCTACACAACTGGCAGTTTCCTATGGCTTAACTTAATACTTCTGCTTTACGGTTTTCAGGTTTTAAGGAAATATCTCTTAAGTGAAATATTGCTGTATCATAAATTCTTGGCCACAGGATTAGTGTTTAAAATAAACTTGCCCAGACTGAGTTGAGTGATGTTTTCTCCGTTGCAGTAGGGTTGGTCATAAGACAGTATTAACACATCTTCCAAAATGATAATGCCTTCTGAGTTCAAGTTACTTGCAAAGAATAAAGAATTTTACTTGCCTGAATTTTAGTTAGAATGGTAAGCTCTATTCAAAGTCAAACACACGCAAATGTTGACATTTAGAGTCAACTTTCAAAAGCAAGCATTAATCTTTTTATCTTATTCCCATCACACAGAGAGAAAGAAAACATACCCAAGAAGTTAAATAATGTTCCAGATGCAGCAGAAAATTTTCTGTTTCGTAGTCAACAAATTGGCTTGAAATGTTTGCATCAAAATAACCCATAGGTAACTGTATAATCCTATCTCTGTTCACTAAGACTTCCATGGATGCTCCAATCCTTGTTTCTCTTTTCTTCAGATGTCTCTAAATATCACTCAATTCTTTGTGCCGCACAATGTAGCTCTTGATTAACTGTTTTGAAAACTTTTTTTGTTTCATATTTACATTTCTTATGTCTCTATCTATATTACTAGATACTTGGAGTGAGGTATTGGTATTTTAATTATTCTGATTCCTTCAAGAAACTAACACTGGGCCAGGTTAGTAGGAGGAAACTATGAATACTAAGCATTTATTAAATATTCATTGAGCAAAAGTACAAGACAGGACAGTGAGCTTGATAAACACATTAAACTTCCTAGGTCAGATTTTAAAAATGGAAATGAATAAAATAAGCCATTTGTACATTAAATGTCTTCAAGATATTGATCTCTGTATCAAAGGTTAGAATTTGGTATAAATTGAACCTTCATAAGAAAAGTAAAATTTAGACTGTCCATCTTTTATGCATTCCACTAAGAATTTTATAGTTCTGAATCAGCACTAACTGCATTAACAAATTATGTATGCTGAATTAGTCACATTACTCAAGTGCTATTCTTTTTCCTCTGCAGAATATTTGTCACACAGATATTTAAATGGAATCGGAGCTGTACATAACCAATGCACAATACTTTGTCAAAAAAGAACAAAGTTAATCAGGTTGGTGAGTAATCACAGACCTCCTTCCCTACCCCGTCTTACAGGCTCACAAGAAGTAGACTTTAAAAGAATAGGTCATTATTAAGGAAATAGAATCAGAGCATCTCAGTAAAATATAGTAAAATCTTAGTCATTAGTCTATGTACGATATTTTAACTCCTTTGACAATTAAGCATTCTTTGTTATAAAAAAGAGGTTCTATTTAGTGTCTGTCAAATAGTTCTTGAAAGAAAAATAAAGTACAATATTTCAGTATGAAACAGAATGAATCATAACTGGCATGAATTAAAAAAACTAAATTAAAGTCAACTTCCAAATTGCCTTATTTGATTCATCAACTTAGGGAACTTCTTGAAAAGGCAGATTGCTACTCTGTAGGCATGCAAAAGAGGAGTGTAGAATATGGTATTTTGACTTTTGCTATTAGTCCTTTTCCTCAAGTTTTCCTTGTTGAGCTGAAGAGTGTTTCGTTATGGTTGCTGCAGGGATATGTTGGCCAAGAGCTTCCCTTCATGTTAAATGACTGCACAGGGATACAAACCCAGGACAGCAAAGAAGGGAAGACTAGGAAGATAATTGTGTTAGCAAGCCCAGACTGCCATACAAATGGCAGCAGAAAATGGAATGCTCTGGGAAGAAAGAGACACTGGAAAAATATGGCTTGATATTACAGAGGAAAATGAATATATTAGGGAAAAATCTTGAGTTCTTAAAATTATGAAAAAGTTAAATAATGGAAAGAAAATAAGAAACCAATTAGGACCTCTAGGAAAAGTTAAAAGTTGTATAAGAAAAAAGGATCATATTATACTATTTGGGCAGGGTGAAAAATAGTTTTGTGGTCATAATTACATATTCACTGCCTTAGATTTTCAACACGTAGGATAAGCTTTTTAGGATAAAATATGGCTTATGTGTCTGTGATTGAAAACAGAATGTAAATGTTATCACCTTGGCAGATGACAGTGTTTGAAAGGAAAAAAGTGGAGAGAGAACTAAAATGAAGGAAAAGGACAGGAATGTTCTCATAATTCAGTGTGATGAGTCAAGAGACACCTATTAGTTGATAGGATAAGAAATAAAGAAGAAACATTATTTACAGTTATGAAAAGCCTAAAAAAAGTGACAAAACTATTTTAAGTGGACGGTAGGTGAAGATTGGGGGTGACAGTGAGCTAAATCTTTATCCATTATAGCAGAGAGTGGACGGTTAATGCATTAAATTCCTGAATTCATAAATAGTATAAACATACTACTTGTCAACATGAACATAATCATGGGGAAAATACAAAAAATGATTTTCCCTGTGGATCTCTCTTAGATGTATAGATAGTGAATTGGGTACTGTTTTTTTTTTTATTTTGTCCTACTCCATGAAGTGATTTTAAAATCATGTTTATGTATAATTTTAATAAGTATTTTTTTTTAAAAAGCTATCAGAAAAATGGAAAACTCTCATTCACTGATGATACAACCACTGCACATTTATTTGCTTCTGTGTGTAGATTTAAACTACTCCAAGCTGGTCAGGATGTGTTCAGCACCATGTCTTTCCTGGAAAAGCTTTCTGTGTATTTAGACCTGCATAAATTTTCCTTTCTTTCCATTCAACTTCAAGAGGTCATCAGTTTTAGGAGGGGAATTAAAAAAAATTATTTAATAATAAATAATGTATTTATCTGATTCAAATTCAAAGGGCAAAAAGGAAATTTAATGAAGTCTGAGCACTATTGAACTGATGAACATTATTTATGCTCCCCATCTACTCAGTGTTAAAATTCTTATTCTTATTCTTATTCTTATTCTTATTCTTATTCTTATTCTTATTCTTATGAATGAGAGGCATCCAGAATTCTTTTATGCACATAGAAGCTAATACCCACACATGCATGAGTACACACAGGAATTTCTGAAAACCTGCTGGATTACAAGTTTTTGGATAGTTGGAGCTTATAATCCATTATTTTTAAAAGGAAAAAAACATTATGTTCTCAGGCAATCAGAAACTCCCAACTTATTTCTCCAGTTGTTATATAGTAATTCACCAAAGATATCTGCACTATAAAATATCAAGAACCAAAATGTTTAACACTTAACGAACACATTAATGAGTATATTTGTGTGCAATGTGCAGTGATAACATTTATTCAAAATATGATCCATGAACTAGCAGCATCAGCATTACCTAAGAGCTTGTTAGAAATACCCAATCTCATACCCAAACCCAAATCTAGTCAATCAGAATCTGTCTTTTGCTGAGATACCCTCTCTCAATTTGCTCTATCATTCAAACTTTTTTCTTATGTATGAGCTTTTCCCTACCTCAGGCTCACCTATTTTCTCCTTTTCCAATTTTAGGAGATATCATTACTTACGGTATGTGGAAGATAATGATAATAACACAGAATTTGGTTGGACAACATCGGCAGAGACTCAGTTTCATCTAGAGAACACCTGAGAAATAATGGAAACTCACTCTAGTCTTGCCTGGAATCAGGCACCATGTTTATTGGTGCTTGCATGTGGATTCATTACAGGGGTTTCAATTTAGGTAGGGAATATTGGATAAACATTTTTGACAGTCATTATAGTGAGTGACTCTTATGAAACTGAGAGATCAGATAGCAAGAAAAATCAGTGATCCTGCCCTTAGCTTAAAAAAAAAAAATCAAATAGTGCAATAATATAAAGACTGTGCTGTACCTTCATTTGTTTCCTTAGTCATCAATAAATGTCAGTACTGAAAGAAACTTCCTCGGCCTTATTTTATGGCCACCAAGCACTCCACTGAGTAGATAAACCATAATTTAATAAAATAGACCCCTTTTGATAGACATTTGGGTTATTTTTTAATATTTTACTATAAGAAAAATTGTCGCATAAATAACTGTACATACGCCTTTTCATATGCATGAAGTTCTGTCTATAGAGAAGAAGAGAGTATTAGGTCAAATGACATGACCGCTTGCAATTTTGATAGCATTGCTAGTTTGTCCTCCACAGATATGTAATTTACACTCTACATGAGTGAACAAGGTAGTTCTCGACACCTTGTTCAATAAGAGTGTGTTATCAAACTTTGGAATTTTTTCCATTCTGAACTGTGAAAAGACATTTCAGTGTATTTTTAATTTATGTCTTTGTTATGAAAAATAAAAATACGTTCTTATGTTTCATTTATGAGCCATTTACTATTCTTGTCCTATAAACTATCTATTCTAATCTTTTGCTTATTTTTCTATTGGGTTGTTGGCCTTTTTCTTAATAATTTGTTGGAATACTTTACATTAGGAAGATCAGATTTTTAAATGTCATGTAAATTAACTTTTCTCCCCAATTTGTTATCCTTTGACTTTTCTTATGGTTGATCTATCATCCATCTATTATCTATCTATCTATCTATCTATCTATCTATCTATCTATCTATCTATCATCTATCTATCATCTATCTACCTATCATCTATCTCAACAGCTTTTGTAATATGTTTAAATATTTTATATTGCTGAATCAATCTCTTCCTAGATTATAGCTGTTTCAATTCTAAGATGGTAAAAGAATTCTCACATAGTTTATTTCTTGTTCATTTGTGGTTATATTTATTTACTTTACTTTTTAGTTTGTGATCCATTTGACTTCACCCTGTTTTAATATGGGGGGTACGGACTCAACTTACTTTTTTTCCCTCAGAGTTTCTCAGTTATCCAAATTCTATTTACTGAATGATACATTTTTACACAAAGAACCTTTCAATAATATAGTTTCCCAGAAGCCACATTCAGATATTAGTATTAATATATTATTTAGTATATTTTGGTGAGGCACCAAAAGAAAGTCCCAGGCCATATGTGAAGTCATATTTGTAAATCATAACAAGGAGGCTCAGTCTGCAAGTGAAGGTGAGAGAATTTTGTTTTTCTTAATGAACATGATCCAAATGATTGGCTGGAAGCCTACCCTTTATTTGGAGAAAGCAGCTGTTCTCCAGAAGAGGCTCAGTAATATATTTGCCTGGATTGGTTCCTATTGATAAGACACAATACCAGCAAATTTATATAGTGATTAGCTACCCCTCAAATGGTTCTTTGAGTTTCTATGGGTGATAGGAGTAGTATCAGTGTTTTCTGAATTAGGACCAGTTGCTGGGTAGATGGAGTAGCAGATCTGAGAATGTTCACAAGACTCACTAACATGTAGGTAGCTTCGCAATGACCTGACATGAAGCATTGATATTCATCCTCGGACACTTATTCCTCAGGCTGGGTAGCATAGTTGACTCATATTGAGGGAAAGTAGGAGTTTATGTACTTGTTTTCTAGCAGAAGTCTTAGCTGAGTATTATCACCATCAGTTAACATCATGCTAATTCTCAAGCCAAGCTGCATCTTGACATGCATGGAAAGCATTAAAAAATATTGACGCTTGGACCCCATCTTTGGTTAAACCACTTTAACTCAGGACCTCTGATTTAAGTCCAGAGCTTCTCCTCTTCCTCTGTATCATAAGCTCCTTCAGCAGAATGAGACAGAAGAAAATGTGAGCATGAGGAAGGTGAGAAAAAAGATCATGTCATAGAGCATCAACATAGTTCTAGAGACTCAGGGGTTTCCAAGAGATGGCAGAAGGGTGCTAAATGGGGCAGGGGAAGGATGCTGAAGATAAACCTCATATTTCAGCACCTTTCTCCTCTGTTTAGAAGGGCGAGTAGGACACTGCTACCTCGTATGTGATGAAGAAAATTGCTCCTTCAGTGGGGGACAAAATGTGGAACAAGTATCCGACTTTTCAGAGAAAATTGCTGATGTTCTCTGTACTTTGTTTTTCAAATGGTGTGCTTCCTCAAGGCCTTGACTTTTCCCCATATTTAGCCCTATAAATACCAAGATGCTTTTTAATGCCTCAGTTCTGAGGACTTGTTTAGGTTTTCTGCAGGACTTGATGTCTCTCATTTTCTTGCAGAAAAATAATGAAATCTTGCTAATTCATAATTCACAGGCTAAAATATTTGCTAAGATTTTGGATGCTCTAAACAAGGGCTTATCTTGGCTTTCCAGCTTGTATTTATAAGGAAGTCTCTAAAATATTTTGCAAACAGTACGTGGGCCTAAGAAACAGTTTAAATTGTGTCATTCCCAGCAGGTCATTGCCTTGTCCTGAGGATCGACCCAATGTTGTGTGCCGAGTAAACATTTATAACACACAATTGTAAGCGTTTAATGAGGCTGAAGTGCTTTTTGATTTTAAAAGATGGCTACTCATTAGATCTGTATCTCATTACAAACCCATTCAGAGAAGCAAAGGGTTGAAGTTGCAGTAGGGTTAAGCCCTTCGTCTGGTTGGTGCAGAGCTGGGGAAGCCCTAGGTAAACTTAGTCAGGCCCCATAGACAGTGCTCCAGTCATGGGGTGACTGACTTCAAACTGGGATGTGGCTGCAGAGGTCTCTTTCCCAATCCTCTCCTGTACTGACACAACTAAGCCTCTCCAAATTCTTCCCTTTCTAGTTCCTAGTTTCTTCTGGTGTCTGAGTCAGTACTGTGGGGTCTCAGCAGTACATCTCCCATCCCACAGCCACAATGTCTGTGTAGCGGGGGGCTTTTTCTTCTTGTTCCCCGTTACAGGTCCCATATCCTTCGTCCACCATAAAAACTGAGGAACCTTATCAAGTCTCCTGAAATGCTGGAAATAGATGTGTCACAGTAGCTGGGACTGGTCAAAACTGCATGGATCTGGCATTTTTTTTTTTTTTTTTTTACTTTGCTCTAAGGCTCTTGCCATTTATGGAGCTGAGAGGATGCCGCTGCTTACAGAGTGGTGTGTTAAATAACGGAGTAATAAAGAGGAGAGGAAAGCCATTTAGAAAAGAAAAACATAGTCACCTGTGAGATAATTCTTATAAGATTCCTATTTAATAATTTCCTCTCCTATTCATATGATCCCTCTTGGCAATGAGTATATGGATTCCCCTCCCCCCATTTAGATTATGAACTATGAGAACAAGGATTTCTTTTTTAATTTTTGTATCCCCATCACCTAACATCCAGCCCATCAGACAGAAAGTTCTCACTAATTATATGTTCAAGAATAAGTGAAAGCCTGGGCTGGCATATTTATTTTTTAAATTCTGACATCTGAATGTTGGACACTGCCATCAGCTACAAGGTCCTCCACACCCCCTGTGGCCTGGCTGAGAAAGTTAACCAAATACCTAGCCTGGAGAAGCTACTTAATCAATTTTAAATATTCACATTTCCACCATTCCTTGGGTGCATACCATGAGCAGGTCTTCGGCCCCGGGCACCTTATATACATTAGTGCCTTTAGTCAGGTCAACAACCTTAGGCAGTAGGTCTTCCTCTTCCTGTTTCACAGAGGGTAAAACTGAGACCTAAGGAATAACAACTAAAAGCCATATAATTGTTACAGAGCAGAACCAGAATTCAAAGACATGGAAAGGAGAACTCCTGCTTAGCACTACTCCCGCACCTGAGTTTTTAAGGGCAACTACAGACTATTTTTTCCCCTTGGAGGCCAGGGAAAGGGGAGAGAAGGACAGACCAGAGAGCTGGGTGAGGGGCCCACAGCGCCCTCTGCTGATACCAGTCACCCCTCGCATTGGCTCTTCCTAGCTGGTAGCTGTGGCTTTCAAAATATCACTTAGTGAGAACATTTGAGAAATCACTTGAGGGGGATAATCTATAGAATGTGATGTAATTATTGCTCACTGAAGGGCGGCCCTGAGGAGTGACAAGGGCCCATATTGAAGCAGTTTGTGAAGAGGACTTGAACGCTGTACCAGCTGCATATCCCTGGCTTCCTCCCAAGAGCTCCTGATGGGATATTCTCCATGATTTTTAAGACCACCTGGAGTTATTAGTCCCTTGAGGACTCCCATAAGACTCATCATTATCGTTTCCTTTGCTCCCCAGGTGCCTTAACTTAGGATCTTATTTATTGTGAGATGAGAAAATCATGCACGTGCAGGTTTTGTCTTAGGTGGCCATAAAAATTCTATTACTGCTGATCCCTACATGTAAATGACACAGGAAAGCTATTTCTTTTTTTTAATTTCTTTTTTTATTTTATTATGTTATGCTAGTCACCATACAGTACATCATTAGTTTTTGATGTAGTGTTCCATGATTCATTGCGTATAACACCCAGTGCTCCATGCAATACACTGTTGATGGGAATGCAAGTTGGTACAGCCACTTTGGAAAACAGTGTGGACATTCCTCAAAAAATTAAAAATAGAGCTACCCTACGACCCATCAATTGCACTACTGGGTATTTACCCCAAAGACACAGATGTAGTGAAAAGAAGGGCCATATGCACCCCAATGTTCATAGCAGCAATGTCTACAGTAGTCAAACTGTGGAAAGAGCTGAGATGCTCTTCAACAGACGAATGGATAAAGAAGATGTGGTCCATATATACAATGGAATATTACTCAGCCATCAGAAAGGAAAGCTGTTTCTTAACGGCAGCAAATCTAATGTCTGTGTAATTCAAGGACCAGAAATCTGAACCCTACTTTTTGGCTAACCAAAAATTGTTCTCATTGTCATACTTAGGACGTGGTTTGTATGCTTTGTCTTATTACAGTAAATTCTGTTAATGTTTTAAAATCTTTAAATTGTTTTTCTTTTTAGACTTGAGTTTTGAGGCAACTTTAAAAGTTTGTTCCTAAGGAGACAAGAGTTGTGTTTCAAAAAAGAAATAAGTCTTTAAGTCACTGGCATTTTTTTTCCATGTATCTTTTCCAACACTGGAGTATTAGAAATATTTTTGAAAATGTTTGTGTAATAAAGGTCTATTTCTAAAAAAAACGGCACTGATGGGAAAGACATGAAATTTATGTAGAAAGAATTTGAAAATAAATGTAAAAACTTTTCACCAAGGGCACACAAAATAATTGGCTGAGAATGTGGTCAGTTTGAGTAATATTACACTAATAATTTCTAACTTACTACACCATGTACACTTTAAATTTTTTA